CGGTGGTCAACAATTGCAATGAACATTTCAGCCGGTCAGATTTTGGCTCACCGTAGGCTCCACTTTAGTTTCGTTTCGATATCTCGGTATGTGTGCTGAAAGTTCAGAAATGAAGAAACGCACTACCGTTGAACGGGGTTTGTAAGGGAATGAAGCAGCTGACATGGAAAATTGCTAATTCACCCATAATTTTTACGGTTATTTAAAATAACGTTATCTCTACGCCTCTCTAGAGCAAAGGTCTTTCCGGCAAAAATCAACTCAGCTCGAATATTAGGTGACCCAGTCGAGTCTAAGCAAGACCTTGATCTTTTGGCAAAAATCGCCATTAGCAACACCAGTTGGTCATTGGTTCTAGGTGAACAGTTGTGTAATTCTAGCTGACTGGCAACATTAAGCCAGCAGTCATATTTCCGGTGAAATAATCATTTAACCGCATCACAAGCTCTCTATGGTCTGACAGTGATGTTTGGTCTCAACAATCATCTGCCTCTGGATGATTCCGTTGTTAAAATCAATAACCATGCACTTACGTTCACTGGTTTTGGTTGCTGTCTCTTATTCGCCCATTTGGATAAAAAGAGCAGAATGAAGATCTTAATGCTGAACGCAGAGTCAAAGGGATAGAGAATTCCTATGGACTGCAGTTGCAGGAATATTGAGTAGATGCACAAGTTCCACTGTTTTAGACATCTAATCATGTCAGTGAGTGTCTCTAGCTATCGGTTACTACGATCTCGGGGCTACCACCCAGGCAGCCTAACGCGTCTCATATAACAGAGTTTCCAGGCTAGGGTTTCCATACCCTCAGTATAGGTCTTGTTTAAACCATCCTTTACCTTTTTTCATCTGTTGCCTTCCTTGGCAAACATCGCACAAATTTGCAATCTATTTGGTGACATGTGCTTAATCTACGGAGTTCAACCCCATTAATCCAGTGTATGACCACGATTACTACAACTCCACGCCTAACCATCGCATTGCTTGGCTGATTTCCCCACTAGACTCGTGCAATGCGGCGTAGACAATGGTGTTCAAACGCCGACAATCTATTTTTATCCTGTTCCCGTAATGACCAAGTACCTACACCGTAGTCAGCATTGGCCGAACTGCTGTAGCATACACTCGATCGTTAATAAACAGTCAGATTTCTCCACGGTGCCTCAAGTTGCCAATCACTAACCTTCTGCTTGCGTGGCCCCACTTCATCTGTGATAGGTCCGCCAGGGGATGATAGTCTAGTTTTCTGCAGTCAAGTACTTAGCGTTGTAGTCTTAACCAAGTTACAGCCAAACATTGAATTAAGTTTTCATTCATTGGTAACCCACATGCAACTCCGTTGCGCTTTTCAATTCACCTATCATGGGAGGGTTTGCTATATTGGCCGGCAGATCACGCATCTGGCTGACTACACTAAACAGCATCAGTCTTGTCGTTTGCGGTGGGATAAGCATCGGAGCCGAGGTAATCCCCATCTGACTGACTGTACACGAGGGTTTCCTCCTTCCATATCTATATACGGTCAATGGAGGATTATCCAGTAGTCAAGTGTCGAAATGTATCCCCAATCGGAGCCAGTACAGTCCATTTGCACGGCTCTCATGATGCTCCCAGTAGTGTTTAACATAATCCTTATCGTTTTATTCCCATCATTTAGTCATTTTTTCTCTTCTATCCCTTGTCTGCAACCCGATTTTGGTATGTTGTAAAAAATCTGCATTGGCTTAGTGAGCGAAACGGTTAAAACAGATTTGTTTCAATCAGCCGGGAATTTATTCTCAATATAAAAATAAACAACATGACTGTGTTTATGATTAGTTTAATGATGGAATCAAGAACGCAGATTTGTACACTGTGGTTCTTCATATCGTTTTGTGTGATTATACAATTGCTTAGTGCAGCTCAAACAATCATCAGTAAATTAAAGCAATCATTTCCCGAAATAAACTTGAACAAAGAACAGAACACTGCAAGAGATCAAAATTTAATTCCGGAATCATTTCGCTGCATCTCAGCTGGTGCTTACTGCAGAATACAAAACAGTTTATCTATCACTGGTGTTGATAATCTAACCTGGTATCAATTCACTATTCAGCTTACGTAGTTACCAGGACAATGCCAGACTGATGTAGACCTACTTTTGCTGATAAAGCAGGGGCCTTCGGCTCTTCCTTGCTATGGCCTCCGCAAATCTTAGCAGCCATTCAAGATTGTGTAAACTACTCGATCAATCAGTAAAATAGGGGGCGACAGGTCAGAGATAGAATACGAGTACCGAACACATAAATCACCAAGGTTAAGACAAAGTCAAAAGCGTGTTATCCACCTTATCAACCAGACTGTGCATGTGAATCTCCTAGGGTTAATATCTCAGCGTATTTTGTGATTTGCAGAAACCATACCGGCCGTCTGACTCTGTGGAGTGTAAAAAAACAGCAAATGTTTTACTGTTCAACAGTCATAGTATCGTTGCGGTTTTCTCATCACCTGTAATAATCGTGTCACTGATATCTATGACCCATTGGTCTGTTTATTCGCACAAATAAATCTATCAGAGTGAATTGTCATTAAATTCATGTAGGTATTGATTACTTCCCACCAAGTTTGCGTTATTTTGTGGTTTCACTCACGGATTATGCATGACGCGAGTCCGTCAATCCAACAGATCCTGTTCTCGATCATTGTTTTTCTCTGTTTATCCACAACCAACACTCCACCTCCAATTATTTTCCTATCCCGTGTTTCAGTGCAGTGCCAGTCTCGTATGTGCAACCTTGACAATGGGTTTACGAGATCGAAAATTAAATTTGTTAAAATCCCAATGGACATGTACAACAGAAGGACGAATGGACGGGCATGGCCCCGGGGCGCTAGTCGACCGCATGGTTGTCTACTTTTCGGATCAGGTGAGATCTGCGAACTAAATTTGCACTCCCTTTATGTATGTGCTCGAGGATTGTAGCGTTCAAATGTTGAGTTTCGTCGTGTACAGAACGAATGAGGCGTGGTGGGGCTGATCAGTATTGTGAATCCACGGACCTAACTAAGGATCGAAACCAGGACCTCACGAGTAGAATGCATGCATATGACCCACATGGCCACTGTGTAGCAGAACGGGTATTTTTTTAATTTTGCCTACACACGATAATGCAGCTAAGAAGCGAACCGTTGACTGAGAAACACAAAGATTGAAACTGTGACAAATAGATTCCTCCTGCAAGTAGTGACAAACAAGCTCAATTTCAGTGATTCGTAGACACACCAATGCACTAGAACGAATAACCATATATTCATACATTCGCCACAAATATCTCATTTGCAGCACCGGGTAATTTTTGGGGATAACTCTTTCAAGACCAGCCATTTTGTAATCAGTTCTATGATTCAGTATTTTGTAGATTGGTTAAGTGCTACTAACCGCATGAAACGTGACTTATGTCTTTATAGAATGTCTTACAGTATGTAGTGTTTGGATGGTATCACATACAAAGTTTGAACGGATGTCTTTGAAGAAATTGTGTTGTGCTCATACTATTAGATCCGTATAGGAATGTTTGGATTAGCCACAATGAGAGAGAACCAAAAACAACAATTTTCGGTTGACGACATTTCGACCCTCTTGGAAGGCCTTTTTCAATCACAAGCACCTCCAATGGATACGGTTTCTCTCACGATTTTTGTTTAATGCTCGCTTGTTAATTGACTTGAAAAAGGCCTTCCAAGAGGATAGAAAATTGTTTTTTAGGTTTTCTCTCGTTATGTCTAATCCAAACGTTCCTATACGGATCTAATAGTGCTTGGATGATCCAACAAAATTTCCCTGGAATCATACGATGGATTTCGTGGTTCTTGCCGCTCGTTAGGCATGTGTTTCGGGTAATCTTTTTTCAGCTCATTCATATACTTGTTCTCTCATACTTGTAACCTTATCCGCAGTGGGAGCGGCAAGAACCGTGAAACCCGTCTTGTGCTTTTCAGGGAAATTTTGTTCAGTCATCCTTATACCACTTATTTGTAACATATACATATCTCATTTAGGGGATGAATTCTGTCTTATTTTGAACCATAGAGATTTTTCCGAAATAAACTTATGATTTAAAATTTTAGTTTAGTTTTTGATATGAATTGCAATGCAAAATGAATCAATCATTCAACTTTATTTGCCACTGCATTCCTGACCGGTCAAACGAAAACCAATTTAACTTAATGTCATCCACGCCAGGCTCACAGTTCCGTCTCTCGAGCCTGTCACATTGCCATGGTACGTTGTCACGTGATACCCACCACATCAGTTGGGAAATGCCGCGTTTTTGAAGCACGCAAATTGGCAGAGGCAATAGCTGCGGACGTCGAACACGGATTTGTACCAATTATGGTAAGTGAGTGTCTGACTGTCCAATGGACCACGTTAAAAACAACCCACCAGTGTAGAATGTCCATAGACGAAATATGAGTGCAATTCCAAACGTTATTTAGAATGAAAACTTTAGCTTCAAGTGAATCCAACCAATCGCATTCTATAGAAACCCAACAAAGTGATTGGTTCTTCTACCGTCACACGTCACCGATTGGACCGGGCTGTCTAAACCTCGTCCAGTTCGAATGAACTCACTTCCCCGTAAACAAAAAGTACTTTTTGAGTGAGTTACTGAGCGGGGATGAATGTTTGGGGGTTCAAGTGGGCCGTTCTCCCCCCC